ATCGAGCGAACTTTATTCCATACCTCACTTGATGGGGACTCAGATGTTATGCTGGATACATAATCTTTCCACGACTGCCTTTGATTTTCCAACATTAGGCGTCGAGACCTAGCTCTGGCCCGCTTAAAGGAAATCAAATTTGCCGTGGAAGGATGCCTTCTGAATGTATTTAGCATATTTTTCTTTATTTTGATAGATTCAGCAATTTCACTATTCCACCAGGGTAGTGTACGTCTACCTGGGATACCTCTACTGAGTGGGATACTAGTAAGAGCCGCTTCATTTATAACGTTTGTTATAAACTCTACCGATACACTGCTGTCCTGAGAAAGTTCCAAGGAGGAAAATTGCTGTTCATATGTATGCCAATCTGCTTTTCGCATGATCCAGTATTGAGGAATTTGTGTATTGCCTTTGTGTGTATCGAGGGTCACCTTGCATGGAAAATGGTCACTGTTATGAAGATCATCTAAGACAGACCAGATGACACGTCCAGCAATTGTGGATGAACATATAGCCAAATCAATTGCTGAGAAGCTTTGACAACGCGCAGAAAAGTGTGTGGGTGAACCATCATTTAGCAATGTAAGGTCATCTCTTTCTAATAGTTCGGAAATTGAGCGCCCTTGACAGTCAGTTCTAGTAGATCCCCATAATAGACTGTGCGCATTGAAGTCTCCTACAAGTAGAAATGGTGTGGGTAGCTGCGAGATAATATACTCAATGTCCTCCAATTGCCATTCCCCATTTGGAAGGTAGATGTTGCAAACAGTTACCTTAAATGGAGTTAAGATCCTGGTTGCAACGACCTGTAATGGAGACATTATTTGGATATTTCAAAGTTAGCATCTTTCTTAATAATATTTGCAACACCTCCATGAGCTCTGCTTTCAGATGAGATATCCTTCCTAATGATGTTATACCTTTTTAGGTTATACGGAAAATTAGGACGTAAGTGAGTCTCTTGCACACATACGCAGATGGGGTCATGGTCATGCAGTAATATTTTTAGGTCGCAATATTTTTGTACGATACCATTGCAGTTCCAATAAATTATTGATTCCATTGTATGTGTTATTTTTTTTGTTTTGTTTAAAGTTAAATTATAATGAATAGTGAGTAAATGTTATAAATGCGAAGATAATATAAATATATGCAGTGGTATTGCATATAAATAAAACTAACTGGTAAGTACTGTAATAAGTTAAAGATTAAAATAAGATGTTTATCAAACTATAAATATTTTAAGAGGTTGTGTTCCGAGGTTTTCCCCTGGGCCAACCCTTTTTCTTTTTTCTCCAACGCCGTTTCGGTGTTATTTCTGATTTTGAAGATTGTAAGTCCACTGACTCTTCTGACGAGGAGCCCAGCGTTGCTTCTTCAACTACGGTGTTGGACTTATGTAGCTTAACATGAGATGTTGAAGGCGCAGGTAATTTTTCGTTATCATGTTCTTCAGGGTTAAGGCGCTTTTCAAGGCAGTGATAAGAGGTGGTAGTAGTTCTTGTACAAGAAATTTTGAATCTATCTGGGGAAAAGTAGAAACAGACTGGGCATATGATACCCTAGGCTGTGGAGTGTTGACAACTACCTTTTTTTTTGCTTCTAAATATCCCAATCGTTCCTTTGCCCTTATTTCTTGGATAGCTGCCTCTTGTTTATAAATAGGGCAGCTCTTGGATCGCGCTGAATGATTTCCATTACAATTTATACAGGAAATTGGTGTTGGCATGGATATCCTTCATGGAGTGGACTTCCGCACACACAAATGGCTTGTTGCTGACATTTAGAAGAAGCGTGGCCAAATTTTTGGCATCTGAAACAACGTAAGGGGGCAGGCACATACATCCGCACTGGAAGGGAGTAAAAGGCAACTTTAATTTTCTCTGGCAGTTTGGTGCTGTTGAAAGTGAGAATAGGGTTTGGTGTGTCTTTTACCTCGCCATTTATTCTTGTTGTAATCCGCCTAACATCAATTATTCCTTGACCAGCGAGTTCTTCTCGGATCTCTTCAAGTGGACAATTCAGTAGATCCGTACAATATACAACACCCTTTGTTAGATTCAGGGTTTTATGGCCCTGTATAGTCACATCTTCATCTAAATATCTGTAACCCTTTGTATGCATTCGATTGTTTCTCCGACACACATTCTACAAGTAGACCTTCACGAACTTTACTGACTTTTCTTAATTCTCCTACTAAACCAAATAGACTTTTCTGGATCACGAACGGACTCACTGTGCGTAATCGCCACCAGTTTTTTTAACTATGGTCAGGAACCGGGGAGTTACCGCCTTTTCCTGACACGATCTAAGCTGGGTTTCGGATAAACCCGTATGTTCCGTGTTTTGAGAGTCGGACAACTCTATCAAATTTGGGTTTGGAATATTCATCTAAGTCCCACGCGTCCTACAGGAAGTAACGGTCACCTACAGCAGAGCCGGAATACTTGTAGGAAGGCCTAAATAGAACCGGAGGGCACCTGGTATCCGGAGCACACCGTCAAGGACCACTAACGTAGGGACAGTTCACCCCTCGCACGGTAACGTTTGACACCTTGGGTTCGGATTTTTATTTATTTTGGGTTTTGCGCTCCCCAAAGATGGGAAACAAAGCAGAGAGAGAGGCAGCAGAGAAAGAGAGAGAGATAAAGACGACGGCCAAGCTAGGAATGAAGAATTGCAGAGAGGAAGAGGGAAAAACGAAAGGAAAAGCCCAGGTTTGGGCAGAAAAAAAGGCAAGACCACCAAACCCCGAACTCCCTTGCCTGGGGCCGTGGGGGCGACACTCCCCCATGTATCTACGTTTAAGTCCGGGTGATAAGAATCCAGCTTTAAAAGTAGATACCCCCTGCGGGGGATATTATTATTATTATTATTATTATTATTATTATTATTATTATTATTATTATTATTATTATTATTATTATTATTATTATTATTATTATTATTATTATTATTATTATTATTATTATATTATTATTATTATTATTATTATTATTATTATTATTATTATTATTATTATTATTATTATTATTATATTATTATTATTATTATTATTATTATTATTATTATTATTATTATTATTTTATACTATTTTACTCCTCTGTCGAAGGTATTAATATTTCCCTCAGGCGGTTAGCCAAAGTAAGGAAATAGATCTGCAGCGGTCTTTTCACCGTATCCGGTTCTCATCTCCTAAAACCCTACGTACTGTCCTACATGTTCCCAGCAGTGCAGCTTTTTGCAGTTGCAAGTATATTTTTGGATGGAGCTGTAGCTTTTCCAGACTCTTGTGTAGTTTCCTTGGTATCTCTCCAGTAGCTCCTATTATAACTGGTATTATAGACACATTGCCCATTTCCCACATGCGTTTGATTTCGTCGGAGAGTGGCAAATACTTATTGATTTTTTCCGCATGGGTGGTTTGGATATTAGTAGGAAGAGGCACAGCTATGTCTATTATAAACGTCGTTCTTTCTTCTTTTAGTGTGAGCACTATGTCAGGAATATTGTTGGGGATGGGCCTGTCAGTTATGATTTTACGGTTCCAGTACAGCCTAGAGGTCTCCGTTTCTATCACAGGTGGCGGCGTGTATTTATAGTAGGGCTGTGTACCAGTTTCTCCTAGATGCTTTTTAGCCAAAGCTTGATAAAGTATTTTGGCCACATCATTGTGCCTTTCAAGATATTGTTTAGGAGCTAAGGGAGAGCACCCTGCTACAATATGATCTATGTGCTCATCTTTTTTCCCACATATGCGGCATCTGATATCGTCAACGTTCTCATGCATTATACGCTTTCGGTACAACTTTGTTGGGACTACCTGATCCTGGATGGAGGCTATGAAGCCCTCCGTCTCCAGGAACAGATTACCTGACTGCAACCATCCTTGGGAAGCCTTCGTGTCAATGGCGTTGTCTTCTATGCGGCTCCTATACCGACCATGTAGTGGTTTGGCTTTCCATTGGCGAACCAGATCCTGCATTGGGGTTATCTTTGCCTCAGGGTCGAAAGATTTTTCTGAAAGGTTTAGTGGTGTCAACTTTTTATCCGTCTGTGTTATTGCTTGATGCATTCTGCTGGATGTGGCTTTTTGGAGGAAGTAACTGGCGTAGATTGTCCACTTGGCGGTGATGTAGTGTAGGTATGCAAGGTATTCCTCTGCCACCCTCACTTCGTGGTAGATGGAACCGCTCTATGGAACTATGTGGGTGGTGTCCCCGGTGTTTACGGAATTCTTTTCTGGTTTCCACATTAATATATATTATATTTATATTATTATATATATATATATATTTTCACTCAAACTATGGATCATGGACAAAGTGACTATGTAATTATTGTTTTCAGCACAAAAAACATAAGCAACCACAAAACATTGAACAGTTTTCTTAGAAATGTATTACCACTGGGTAAATTTACAAATCTAGTAATTCTTCTAAAGTCCGAGCCTGTAGATGAAGCCTTAGCAATTCTATTGGAAAACAAAATAACTAGTTATATTAAAAATAACCCTAACTGTTCAGTGAAGTTATTAGTAGCAAAGAATGGTTTTCGCAAATCACTGGCAAACATCATAAGAAGTCATGTGCAGACGAGCTGCTCTACCCTCAAAAGAAACGTTTTGTTATCGCCTCCAATAATTCCAATTTATAAAATGGAACGTCGAGTGCATTGCAACAGTGAGAGTACTGGTGCTTTTTTACTGGCCAGTGGGAATCCGATACTAATCACCTAGTACGACATGATTCGGGTAAACAGAATGTATCGAAAAATTCCTTATCACACGCTCGCGTCTGTGAAGTGCGCACGAATGATTGTCGGTATAAACTTTTACATTTAAACGTACAGTGTTTGAGAAACAAGGTTGATGAACTTGAGTTGGTGGCAAAACAGCACAGTTATGACTTTCTTTGTTTGAATGAGCATTGGTTGACTTGCGATGAGATTAATACTCTGAATATTTGTGAATATATGAATGTGTCTAGTTTTTGCAGGTCAAGCAAAATCCACGGTGGTGTTTGTATTTATGTCAATAATAAGTTTAGTGCTAAGCCTTTGTGTGACAAAGTTTTAAACATTTCTGAGGAGTTACACTTTGAGGTTGCTGGTGTCACCTGTTTGGATGGCACACAAATTCTAACCATATATAGATCACCAAATGGAGACTTCAATATATTCTATAATAAGCTTCAAATACTACTTAGTACTTTAGACTATAAGCAAAATATAATCATATCTGGTGATTTTATTTTAAATTTAACACTCACGACAAGCATGCCAATGTGATGTGTGATATTTGTGTTTCTTTTGGACTGTATCAGACTGTGAATGTGAATACTAGGCAGAATGCTTGTCTAGATAATATTTTCACCAATATAAACATGTCAAGCATAGTTGTAGAGGCCTTTGATACATGTTTTTTCTGACCATTTAGGTATTGCATTTCATTTTAATTTGAAAACTCTAAAACCTGTTAGGAAGAGAATAAACTACAGGCCTGTCACTGATGAAGGTCTTTTCAAGTTATACAGTAAAATTGAAACAGTCGACTGGATCTTTTGTCTGATATTAGTTTTACCACTGACCACTAAACTCGAACGATTCATGAACATCTTAACAAATAATATCGCTGAGTGCTTACCAATCAAATCTAGGTTAGTATCAGAGGGTTGTCGCAACAAAATCAACTGGTTTGATCACGAATTGGCTCATATGAGAGAGACTTTGGAACTAATAACACAAATTAATAAAGATAATCCCCAAGTAGTATCAAAGAAGGAGATTAATGTCTTCAAATCAAAGTACCGATCAGAAATCAGAATTAGGAAAAAAAAATGCTCATGATAAATATATACGTAGAGCGTCAGATAAACAAGCAGCTATGTGGAACGTGATTAAATCCAATGGTGTGCAATCATCAAAAGCACATTCGTCTACTCTCAGCGCGAATGATTTAAACTCTTTCTTCGTCAGCATTGCTGATACCATTATCGCTGAAATTCCAGCTACCCAGTCGAACTTCAAAGATTTTATACAGACTAGTGATACACTACAATTTCAACTTCGAACTGTTTCATTCAATGATGTTCGAGACGCAATCAAAAGCTTAAAGAATTCTAAAAGTAAAGATCCATATGACATCGATGTTAAAATTATGAAGACCTTAAAATAACTTGTTAGTATATCCTATAACAAAATTGATAAACATGTGTATAGAAAATAATGTCTTTCCTGCCTTATTAAAACTTGCAAAGATTGTGCCACTCTTCAAGAAAGGCTGTGAGAATGATCCATGTAATTTCAGACCATCTCTATAATACCAATTATAGCAAAAATTTTCGAAATTCTTCTGAAGAATCAGATATGTGAATACTTTCGAAGGTAACAATTTATTCTGTAACAACCAGTTTGGATACCGTACCAACAGATCAACGAAAGCAGCAATAAACAATTTTATCAGTTTCATCAACAAATGTCTGGAAGATAACATGTTTGCCCTCGCTAACTTCTATGATCTTACAAAAGCATTTGATTGTGTCCAACATCACATTTTGATTCAAAAGTTGTCGCTGTATGGTTTTAGTAATAATAGCCTGTCCTTAATTGCGTCTTATTTATCAGATAGAAGACAGTATGTTAGTTTTCAAAATTGTTTATCCAACAATGTGCATATTAAGCACGGAGTTCCCCAAGGAAGTGTCTTGGGACCGATTCTTTTTTTGATCTACATCAATGATCTGCCAAACTGTAGCATCAATCAGTATATATTATTTGCGGATGACACGACATCAATATCCTCCAATAGTAACTTTGATCATGTATTGCTCGATTCTCAGCAGCATTTTGACAACATTCAAAACTGGTTTAATGCCAACAGTTTGTCAATCAACATAGCGAAAACTCAATCTCTTCTACTCAGTACTCGTCCACATAGAAGTGATTTAGTAGAGCCCGTGAAATTTCTTGGAGTGATTATTGATGCAAGCTTAACTTGGGAATCACACATCACTTCTTTATCAAAGAAGTTATCTAAAATAACATATATGATACGTAGTTTAAATACCTACGTAACAAAATCGACTTTAATGACAGCCTATTATGCTTACTTCCAATCTAACTTGCAATACTGCATACTGATTTGGGGACATTCATGTCATGTATCGAAGGTGTTTGCTGTTCAGAGACGATGCTTGAGAATAATAGCAAACTTATATTTCAGACAGTGTTGCAAGACGACATTTATCGACCTAAAAATTTTAACTGTGCCATGCATATATATACTGGAATGTCTGATCCACGTTAAAAATAATTACGATGATTACAGAACTCCGAAAGAGATTCACAAATATAACACAAGGTTCAACAATGAATTAATACCAGAGTACACAAGACTTTCAAAAACTAGACACGGAAGTAATTATTTCGGTGTGAAATTTTTTAATGCGCTGCCCAAGTTTTGTCAAACACTCACTCAACCATTTTTAAAGCAACTGTGAAAAGATATTAGTGACGAAAGCTTTTACAGCATAGATGAGTTTTTAAATAATGATTTTACCGACTTGTTCCATAATTGTTGACTATTTATTACTTTGGTTTCGTTTGTTTTTTTTATGTGTTATTTTTGTATTATATTTTATCGTTCTCCAGACGTGTGTAAGGACATTTGAGTACAAACATGAAAAAATGATTAGTATTTCATAATTTTTTAACCATCTTATTTTATTGTTCCTCTAAATTTTAAAATAGTTTTATCAAGTTTTTTTAACCTTTTATTGCCACTTTGTGTTTACGTTTGTCTTATTTTCGTATTGTTTGTTACTTTTACTTACTCTTTTATGTTCTACTTTAAATGACCTGTACAAACACATTTTGTGTAATAGTACCAATAAATAATTATTATTATTATTATTATTATTAAGTGCGTTCAGTTCTGTATCCGTCCAGTTCAGTATGCCAAACGTATAGGTAAGGACCGAAGTGGCGTAGGTGCTGACAGCAAGTGCTGTATTACGAGCTGACAGACTTGTTTTCAGCACCGCCCTCAAACGTGTTCTATAGTGCTCCGTTGCCTTTTCTTTTGCAGCTTTCTGGTCTATGCCCGGCGCTTGTAGATAGCCTAAGTATTTATACTGTTCATCTTGCTGCATTCCTTCAATTTCCCTTGCACTTGGTTCGGCTCATATCCTGAATGTTTACTCCACTGGCCTTTAACCATGCAACTGATCTTGCACTTGTCTAAGCCAAACAGCATCTTGATGTCAGTGCTGAAATTACTTACACAGTCCAGAAGCTTATGAAGATGTTCTTTGGTTTCTGCAAAAAGTTTGAGGTCGTCCATGTACCAAAGATGTGAAATGCGTGTTTCATTGCCACCTAACAGTATTCCTTTCTTTTGGCTATTTAGCATTGTTGTTAACGGTCTAAGCGCTAAGCAGAACCATAGCGGACTTAAAGAGTCTCCTTGAAATATTCCTCTCTTGATGGATACCTCTCCGGCACTGAATTGCGTATCTTGGGTGTTGAGATAGAGCCGTGTCTTCCAATTCGCCATAGCATGTGCCAGAAATTGTTTGATGTGGCACTCGATCCCATAAAGGTCAAGCACCTCTAACAGCCAAGAGTGAGGTATAACTGTCAAACGCTTTCTGATAATCGATGTATGCAATGTACAGGGGTATTTTTTTTCTTTTTGGCATAATTAGTTATGACAGAGTCTATAACAAGTTGCTCTTTACAGCCTCGAGACCCTTTTCGGCAACCTTTTTGCTCTTCGTCTAGTATAGTATTCCGCTCTAGGTGTGAATATATCTTTTCAGTAATTATAGCAGTCAATACCTTGTAAATAGTCGGCAGACAGGTGATTGGTCGGTATTTTGCCGGATCGTTCGAGTGATCGCCGCACTTTGGGATTAAATATGTTATTCCCATTGTTAAGAACTCTGGCAACATATCTGGTTGCTCTAAGATTGAGGTGTAACACTTTGCGAGTTGATCGTGAGCTGAAGTGAACGTTTTTAGCCAATAATTCTGAAGCTTATCTGATCCTGGGGCTTTCCAGTTTGGTAATTTTCGTAGAGTATTTACCACGTCATCTAAGCTTACTTTCCAGTCGAGCATGGTCCTAAAAGTTGAATTATTTGCTTTCTCTTGGCGGTACCATTTAGATGTGGAATGATTGATTGGATTGCTCCAAATTCCTGACCAGAAGGTATTGATGGCATCTGAGGTAGGAATCTGAACGTTGTTCTGATCTGTATCCCTCCGTCGCGCCTGCAAGTTCCTGTAAAAGCCTCGCTGATTGGTCTCGAATGCTCGATTTTGTTTCCGGCGTTCGTTGCTTTTCTTGTACCTTCGAAGTCGCAGTGCTGTAGCTGCTAGTTTTTGCTTCAGGTAGTCCAAGACTTCTACGGCTGTTGGGTTCTCCTCCGAGCAGTGACGGTTTATCACATTCTCTGTGGATCTCTTTACTCTCAGACTACATTCAGACCTGCGGTACTGGGTGAGTATTGCTATGTCCTTTCTAATCTCCTCTATATTACGCGATATCCTCATCTCCAGGCTGGCAGTTTTCTGTTTTTTCCTTACACATTGTTCGCCAACTCTCTGTTCATTTAATTTTAGGACTGTAAGTGCTCCAATGTACAACAGGCTATGGAGCTCAGTCAAGGTTGTATCTTCTGTAATCTCGTTATCTATTACTTTGTTAACTTCAGCGATATACTCAGATGTATGGGGTTTTATTATTAGCTTTGGTAGGCTTGGTTTAAGAGTTGGTTCCACACCATCATACTTCATGAACAAGCCCCTGAACTCATCTGCGTATTTAGAGGGTTGGCCATCGTTTATCTCAATTTGTTCTTGGTTTTCTGTGTGCTCTTGCGGAGCTTGTACCTGCATTCCTAATTCTATGGATATCTCTTCTCTTATTTTGTTTATCTCCTCTGCCGGCAATCTGTTGTTTATGAATACGGATCGGCGCTGGTCTAGTACGTTTTGCACAGTTTTGCCTTGCAGGTGAGGGAAGTTCATGATAACTTGTCTGTGTAGTTCAGTACCATAGGGCTCTGTAGATGTTTCTAGTTTAGTTATTCTGTAGTAGGAGCGAACCACAAATCTGTTCATTTCAGTGGTCCACGTGGTTCTTTTTCTCCTCCTATTGTCTGGCATTATGGGCTGGGGCTCTTGGCTTCCAGCAACATGATTGCCATCTTCGACCCCAGGAAGCTGTTGGATGGGGTCATTCGAGTTACTTCTCACACTATCTGTGGGGGCTTTCGCTGGATGAC